AACAGTTTGAAAACAAATAATAATTAGAAACGGAGCAAATACAACATGTCCCCAAACTTTGTTTGGGGGGCATAATTAACTCATTCACCCCTGAAGACACATTTGAACTCTTCCAAATCAATGGTTGGAATAGTTCATTATGAAGTTTCAGGGGTGAATGAGTTAACTAATGAGAGTCTGATAAACATGATTACCAACCTACATACTACCATCACAAATTAGGAGACTTTCTTCTCCCAGAACATCCATATCATATAAGATTCTCTTCAGAAACACAGGACACATTTTTCCCCATCAGCAAAGCAATTGCCGTGAATTATGACACAATGGAAGATACCTCTTCTCAGCACTGTTCCCTCCCTAAACCTGTACCTATATGTAGCCATGCCTTCTATGAGATCTTTACCAAAATCTTACCTCAAACTGTCCCCTCCCTAAACCTGTACCTATATGTAGCCATGCCTTCTATGAGATCTTTTCCAAAATCTTACCTCAAACTGTCCCCTCCCACAAAACCATTTGACTTCATTGAGATCCCTCATAATGAACTTAAACTGTCCCCTCCAACAAAGCCATCCAAAATACATTCAATGAGATAAACTCAAAACCTTTCAACACTGGCTTCATCGTGATCCCTCATATATGCATAATGACCTTAAGGTAATAGGATTGTGTTGCCATTTCTCAGTAGAAATTCTTCAAATTTTGTAGTTATATTGCTTTGAAGTAAAGAAAAAATTTTGCCACAAAAAAAAATATAGGTTGTCAGAATGTTAAGGATTTTAAATGGAAATTTATATAAAAAGGAATGAATTTTGAAAAAAAAATGAAACCCGATTTTTTGCAAAATAATGTCAATAAAAATTATACCGACATAGATTAGTATTGCATTAATGTATATCAATTTCATAAATGCTGAAATTGTGTAAAATCAATTATCTATAAACGATTAAAAATTGACATTTTATAATAAAACCATATACACATAGTAATTGCATGTAAGAGTTATCGTTCTTGAAAAACTTCACAGTAGTGAAATGGGTAGCTGGTTTCCTGAAGTACAGAAAAATGGACACATGTGACTCATTGATAAAAAACCAACTAAATTAATGCCTGGATTGATTTGAAATACTTTAATATTGAAAGAACACACTGTTCTGTCAATAATAAACATACAATATTCATCAGTTTAATATTAAACATTAGAATATGCGGAAATTGTGATACTGTCTCCCTACAGTGGATTTTCAACTAGTTAGGGATGTACTTCCTATTTCCGTATAGCAATACACTCCTATGACCTTAAGACTGTCCCAGCTCCTACACTACCACCCAAAACTGCCCTCTGTATCCTTCTAACCACCTAACACTGCCTTCATTGACGTTCCTCATCCGTCCCCGCCCATAAAACCACCCAACAAAGCCTTCAGGAAGACTTCTCATACTGACCTTTACCTTTCCCCTTGTAGTAGGAGCGGAAAAATGCACAGCCAGACCAGAGTTTGAACCAGAGACCCTCTGAATTAAAGACGGATGATCAACCCAGTCAGCAGTCTAGTTGCATTACACCTCAAACTTTTCCATCCACAACATTGACTCATCAAAATTATTCACTATACGAGAGTAAGCTTGACTTTTTCCCCAAACTATCCCATCCCCCCAGAATACTCAGTGTTGCCATCATTGAAACATTTTCCTAACTATAGCATAGTCCTCAACCTGCAGTCTGATCTTCTTATATCCCTTTCACCACTGTAGACCATAATAGACTCATCCCGATCAATACATAGAAGAGTTTATTAAATTTACAAAGGGATGAAAGGGTTAGTCTCCAACAATTACTTTGATGAGATCATCAACATCAATCTAAACTTCACACCCCCCCCCCCCCCCCCCCCCCAAAAGAATAGCAACCTGGGTCTGTATACATGAAACCGTTCTCATGCTCAAGCATGGATTTTGTGCGCATGCCTAATTTTTTGTTTTATTTTTAAATCTAAGAATAAATTAAAATTTTGTCAATGATCTGGAAAAAAGTTGAAGAGACTTTCAGCGAAATACTGTTTTCAATGTTTACATTTCAATTTTTGATCGATTGACATGATTTAAGTGAGTTACAAAAAAAAACTGAGAACAAAATCCGTACTTGAGCATGAGAACGGTTTCATGAATATATTATACGGGCCCGGTATTCGAACCCGGGAACCCTCTGAACCCTTCACAGATGGTCTACCCAATTGAGCTACCTCAGGTTGCTGGCAATCATTTCAGTCCAATTCTGTTATAGAAATATCAAAGAAAATATTTCATTAGTGGGAATAAAAACAAGAGGCCCAGAGGGCCTGTATCGCTCACCAGAATATGTTTAAAATAATTGGTATGAAGTAAAGATATAGCACTCCATGGTAGGTGCTGTAAGTACATATGAAATTTCAGAAAAATCCATCCGGTACTTGAGATATAGCGAGAACAAACTTCAAACAGAGCCCCACCCCTATGCCCCTACAGGGGTCATACCCACCAATTACACAAAATTGAGACCCCTTGGTCCAAGGATGCTTCATACCAAATTTGGACAAAATCCTGTCATTCGTACAGAAGAAGAAGGTATTTGAAGAATTTGCTATGTTTCCCCTATTGGGCCCCTCCTTTCTGTCCCCAGGGGAGCCACACTCGCTGTTTATACGAAACTGAGTCCTTTTTGTCCAAGGATGCTCCAGACTAAATTAGGATAAAATCCTTTAATCCCTACGGTAGAAGAAGGATTTTCAAAGTTTTCCCTCCATTTCCTCTATTGGGCCCCGCCCCTCTGGCCCCTGGCGGGCCAGACCCCTGGTTTATACAAAATTGGGTCCCCTTTACCCAAGGATGCTCCACACCAAATATGGATAAAATCCTTTCATTCCTACAGAAGAAGGATTTTAAAGGTTTTACCTCTATTTCCTCTATTTGGCCTCACCCCTCTGCGCCCAGCGGGGCCACACCCACCGCTTATACAAAATTGAGAACCCTTGGCCCAAGGATGCTTCAGACTAAATTAGGATAAAATCCTTTAATCCCTACGGTAGAAGAAGGATTTTCAAAGTTTTACCTCCATTTCCTCTATTGGGCCCCGCCCCTCTGCCCCCAGGGGGGGCCACACCCACCGTTTATACAAAATTGAGTCCCCTTGGCCCAAGGATACTCTAGACCAAATTTAGTCAAAATCTACTTTGCCGTTCAGGACTAATAGCGTTTTAAAGGAAAAGTTGACGGACGGACGACGGACACTGCGGTATGGCATAAGCTCACCATGGTCCTTTGGACCAGGTGAGCTAAAATCAATGAAACTGGACAATGACGGATGCAAATATCTTTTAATCAAGCAGATAGTTGACATTTTGTGAAACTTTTTTGCAGAGCTATTATGACAGTACCAGCCATAGAGATTCACACTGCTCCATATACTCAAAATAACCGCCGACATATCCATTCTAGAAATGAAACCCAACATCTTTCAGGATATTTTGATATAATATGACTGCATGATATTATCATACGCTAATGAGAAATGTGACCTTGACCCTTACAAAACCATGATCGATGCACCAAAACTGCCTTAAGTGTAATGATCTAATGACGGACCCATATCTTTCTAAACCATCCCTTTTCCCAAAACCACCCTAAAATTCCTTGTTTGAAATCAGTAAATACATCAACCCCGAACCCTTTCTCTCATCTGTTCTCCAACACCCAGCTGCTCCCTACTGAGAAAACACAACACTTCATTAATTATCTCCACAGAAACTATCATCCCTAGCTCGGTCCTCAACTACACAACACACATCCCTTCCCTGCTCTCCACCAACAGTCCTTTACATTAACACTTAACTTCACCAAGACCATTTATATTCTTCAAAACCTTCCCCTCCCTACTCCCAACCAACACAATATGTGACTTTTTAGTTTACCGACCATCTAATTGGGGTGAAAGTGCCCCCCCCCCCAACACCCTTCAAAATACAATGTAATATATTTTGTGAAACATTAAGCGTGGTTTCCACCATAACTCATCAATTTCAGCAAAAGCTTAAATAAAGATTGTTTGCATGGCCTTGAACATTTTATACAAATATTGTGAAATGAATACTGCTGCCTGGTTGGATTTTGAGGGATTGATTCAGGGTTGATTCAGGGTCCTCATAGATCTCCCTCCCGTGGATTTGTGCCTGTATGTAACATGATTGCCTCATCAAGTAAGATATGTCACACCTGTCGTCCTACTTATTCTGTGGTAGCAACTAGCAGTTCACAACCACACAATATTGTAGATCAGAGGTGTGTGTGTGAGGTTACTGACATCCTAACGTGTGTACTGCAGACTATTTATAGCACCAGGGGACTTATCTCCACTGGAGAGTATTGACTTATAGGTCTACTGTATGCATGTGTGTAGCTGACGTGTAAAGTCCATATAAGGAAGTATATACTTGGTGTATAGTGCACAGACGACTTACAGGGTGAATAAATTATACACAGAACTTTTGATACAGAATGAAGGCAAAACTATGGTGGGATAAAATACTTCAATTGTTATATAGGGAAATACAGCTGATTGATTTGAATAGTTTATTAGGGAAACATATCGTGAAGAATGACCGTCCCCCAAGTAAGAGTATTACACTGTTACTAAATTTAGCCTTGTATCACTGTAGTCTCCAACGTGCCTAAACCCAAAACAAAGCAAAGGGCGAACCGACCAACCAAAAAATGACTCAGTCTGAATCAGCTGTCAAACAAATTATTCATATCCACATCTTATTTACATGTGGGAGTTGGTAGTTTATGAAATGTGTGTAGATAGAAATATCAGTTTTATAGTAAAGAGTTAAATATAGGTCTCCATGTACAAAATAAGGACCTGGACGGCTTTCGTAAACAGCTGATCGGAACAGTTAGGTCACAACGAAAAGTCACCGAAGCGAGAAGTTACGATTAGACACGACCCTCCCAAAACCCACCTTTTTCGGGCTTCATTTCTCCCCGCAAACACCAAACCACCTCCGCTACATAGCTGAAACTGTTCGATTGGAGTCTCTGAAACCACTTTCCACCTCAGCTGACAAACAGTCCATCAGCAGTTACCCTGTCGTCTGTTCTTTTTTCAGCCCATCTGGCAGACGGTCGACGGCTGTGAAACGATCCTATGTTTATGATTTGCTTTCGTGTAGTCACGTGACCAATTTTCCGTAAACAAACTCAAAATTCGATGTACGGTGCTTAAATTGGAGCAAAGTGAATATAAATCAGTAAAGAAGATAATTTCGAGCTACTTTCCAGTATTTCAGCCGATATTTCCTTCTTATCAGAAAACTATACTGGTTTAAGAAGATATGACCTTTGACCCTATCCTGAAATAACCTTATGAACTCATCTGACAGCTTCTTCGGAAGATGATTTCAGTGGTAAGTTCAGTGATTTATTTCAGTTCTTGCCGTCTGCAAGTAGTAAAAATTTCTGAAATTAAGCAGTAAGTCGTGGTAAGGAAATGAATCGATGTAGATTAAGTGAGTACGATAATTTAGGTGTGTTTACAAATTGTAACCTGATGAACCCTGTAGTCGTTATGTAGCTATGATATTTAAAGTTATCGCCCTTTGACCCAAACGAGTTAGACAAATATGGGCATTGTTAGCTAGCCGTCGGCCCACATGCATTTATAAAGCGATTTAATTTGTCGTTTGTCTTAATTCATAAATGGTGTATTACAGCAGCTGTATTAGTTTTATAAACATGAGATGATGATCAATTAACGTTAGTTAATGCATGAATGCATATTAATGTTTTGTATATATCGTCTCGCGGACATAATACTTAAAGCACACAACACTGCATGTATAGGTTGTGAACGAGTGGTCTCTTGACTCTTCATAACGAGTCTATACGACTGAAAATATTACATTACACCTGCCCAAAACATTAGCTAATTGGTATAGTTCTACGTCTAATGTATATTTGTGCGTACAGCCACGGACTTCTAATTCCGTGGTACAGCTATATATATCTATTGCAAATATAAAAATAATTGTAGCATTTTGTTAATTCTAAATACCACTAGAACCACGGAAACTCTAAGTCCGTGCTAGAACATATATTTTGACAATGTTTATCATAAAATTCATATATGCAACATTGCTGTACTGGGGNGGGGGGGTCCTGAAGCCCCCAAAAAACCTCTGGATCCGCCACTGGTTATGTTTAAGAAGTAATAACGACAGTGCAGACAAAGAAAGTGTCAAATTTTCAGGGCGATCTGCCCCTTTATCAAGACAGGATAATTTTTCCTAAATCAAGACTGTTATGTCCTTTTATTCCTGTACACTTAGAACCATTCTTTAAAAAGTCTAAAGGTTCCAAACATTTTTATAGTATCCTTGTAAAAAAATAACATCGTTCCATCAGGACAGAAGAAATGGAATAGAGTCTTTGATTTTAGTAACTTTTCTTGGCATCAGATTTTTAAGCTTCCCTTTGCTATAACTACTAATGCAAAAAAAAAATCAGTGGTTTCAGTATAGAATAAATCACCATATTCTGACAACAAATTCTTTCCTTTCTTAAACTCGAATAGTTGTATCTCCTATGTGTACACTTTGCAATTCTGAGATTGAAACTATTACCCATATTTTATGGGAATGTCAAGAGACTCAGAATCTTCTTATTAGTTTTGAAACTCTTTTGGATGCACTCATTATTCCTTTTGATTTTAATAAAGAATCTTATTTATTTGGATTTCTTACACAAAATGTGAATCATGGTAGAATGAGATACTCATTATAATTAAACAATATGTATATAAAATGCGTTGTCTTCATAGCTCCTTAAATATAAATGCATTGGTTAACACAATAAAAGACTACCATAATATACAAAGATTTATAGCAAATAGCAAAGGAGAAACTTATAGAGTGAAGTTTGAAAAGGAATGGAAAAAATGGGAAAAACTTCTTGTTTTGTAAAAATAATATTCTGATAGCTGTCTCCTGGGCTTTGAAATGAATTACAAAATCAATAGTTTTCTTCTATTTCAAATTTTTTCTCTTGACAATTTGATATGGACGTGTATACATAACTATATTTCGAGTTAAACTGATCTGTTCATATACATTTCCACATTTTTAGGGTTAACTTGAGTGCAACTTTTGGTAAAATGTACCACACACCCCACTTCCCAAATGATATGTTATCGTCATAGGGGATGGTGTGGGTGCATATCCTCATCACACGGGTTGATGAATAGACTCGTCCCCCACCGTGTGACAGAGAAATCTCCAACCCGAGGGATGTTTTTTTTTTTTTTTTTTTCTTACCAAAGGCCATGCCGAGGGTAAGACATTCGAGAATATCATCCCGAGGGTAGGGGATTTCTAAGTCACACTCTCAAGGTGGGGAATGATTGTTTTTCTTCCATCCTTTTTCACTCACAAATCCGCCGACAAGCGGTGATTGCATGACATATAAACGTGATTGCATGTTTTTCAAGCAAATCCAGAGTTGTCTCCCATTGTCTGCTACTGTTGACGTGATGACGTGACGTCATACTATTGTTATGACTTAGATCACGCTATTCTGCACGAAGCTATCTTCCCCTATTGGTTGACTAATATAATCTTCCCCTACCTTGAGAGTGTGACAGAGAAATCTACAACCCGAGATGTGTTTTTCTCCCATCCTATTAGTTTAGTCACAACTCCACCGACAGTAGTCTGCAATGTTTACAAGTAAACAAAAATACATGTGGGGTATGTATATCGTCATTCACTTTTGATGACTTGACGTCACAATTACTGGTGACACACTTAATGACCTCACAATTGAACACGTGCTAATCGGCACGAGGCTATCTCCCCCTAGGGGGTGGCAAGCTGATCTTTCCTGGCTAAAACGGGAGACGCACCTGTGAAGGGTGGGAGACACACCTGTGTAGGGTGGGAGACAATTTGTTCTACCTTATTAGTTATCTGCCTGAATATTCGCATCTGGCCACTTCCGGCGAAATCTGATTGTGATGTTATATTTTATTTTCCCTTGACGTCATCGGATTGTTTCCTTCCAGCTGCTATTGGCTGACAAAGAATAATAAAATCTTACATGGGTCTGTTCCGTGGACAGGCCGGGATATCTCAACCCTCGTGTAAGAGTTTGGCTGGTCAGCACGAGGCTTGCCGAGTGCTAGTCAGCCACAATCTCACACGAGGGCTGATATATCCCTTTTCATGGAACAGACCCATGTTTGATTGTTTTTCTCACATACTTGCAAAAAAACATCGATCTGATTCTTCCGCCAAAACCCCCAAAACCCTAGGGTTGAGACGGAGGATTCGAATACAATGACATCACGTCGACAACTCATTATTATGACGTCATATAGCGCGTGACAGCTGCCTTTCCCTACCCCGTGCGAGATAGAGTTATCTTTTCCCTAGAAAAAGGAAATCTTGAACAGGTAAAATGGAAGACGATTTAGTGAATGGAAGGAGAAAGTGACGTCATGGCTATAAGGTAAGTTACACGTATTTCGACGTCACATTTATTAATTATTATGAAGATAAAGGACAGATATCAGTGGCGTGTAATCTATAAGTCATTCACTCTAGGCCATTTTCCCTTTTGATTCTGTGTTAATATTTATTTTTTTGGTTTCGATTTTAACCAAACATTGACGAAATTCGGGGCACTACTAGAGTATAATCTAGCGCTTCTGTTGGTATTATTCATATTAATATCCGTTTATATAAATATATAACCACGATGAATTCATTTGCCAAAACGATTTTAACGGTAAAATTTAACACTGTGTCTATGGGAATAACGTCCAAGTTTAACTTCTGGTATGAAAAGTGATACCTCAATAACAAAGGCACGTACAAGAATAATACATTTTCACAAAACACTGAAAGTTCTCTAACAGGATGTCAAAAACTAAGTCACGAAAATTTGTTGTAAAAGTTAAAAGAGTTAAAAGGGAAAATTACGCAACGTGGAAGACAAATGGCACGTCACTGTATGCATTTTTTTTTTATAATACAGTTGTCATGTGAAAAATGTTGTTATTAAGTAATTTTCTTTTTAAGATTAGCTCAATGACTTCCAATACACAACTATAAGACTCGGACTGGCCTCAGTGAATATATTTTCCATGAGTAAATAAATCTAAATGTTGGCCTCAGCAAAGACGTATATATTAATAATATTACGTCATATTAACAGCTATGGTCATTTAAGGACGTGCCAGGTTTTGGTGGTGAAGGAAAGCCGGAGTTCCCGGAGAAAAACCACCGACCTACGGACAGTACCTGGCGACTGCCCCACGTAGGCCTCGAACCCGCGATCCAGTGGTGGAGGGCTAGTGGACCTAGCCACCGCGGCCCCTATTACATACGTCTAATGGCCTCAGCCAAAAGTCTATGATTTAAAAAAACCGACAATATTGTCCATTATAAGTGTTTACTTACTCGTAAACTTCGGTACATAAGGAAACTGCTTTTAATTGTGAATTCCGTTATTTCAAAGTTACTTACATCACCTATTAAACGGCTTGGCCTTTTCAAGTACCGGATACATTTTTAAATTTTGATAATCTGCATCAGATAAATAATTTCCAGGATAAGAAAAAGTAGCGTTGGTCCACAATATGTCAAATTAAAGCAAACACACTTTTAATTTTTATTTCAATTAATTAGTTAATTTAAATTATTAAATCATTTGTTCCGATATTTTTTACAGTTTGTTAGTTGGTGGATAGGGGCTGAGGAGGTTGAAAAAGGATAGTTATTTTATCCTTGGGAAATATTGAGTCACTGACTTTGAATTATCAAAGAGAATCAAGTTTGTTTGTACACGTAAGTCTCCAAAGTTTTGTTCTCGGTCTTGTGACAGAAGTGCCTTAATTCCGAAATGTTTTCAATTGTCATCATATCACGACCTCTTTACGCTCAAAGGCCACATTCACACGGTAATTTCTAAGACCGTTGATGACCTTATACTTTTCTGAATTAAGGAGACATCATGACTGGAACCACATCCGATAAAGAAAACAATTACCGAACGCCCTATTCCGTCTTTGAGTAGTGCAGAGTTATCTTCTCTTGTGAGCAGGTATTGATTGTTACGTCATTGGTTTGTGTGAGAAAATTACATCGTTTTCTCAAAAATTGACGACGTTCCTCTCACAAACCAATGACGTAGCAATCAATACCTGCTCACAAGAGAAGATAACTCTGCAATATGCAAAGACAGAATACTTTAGATTTTTTTGTAAGAGGCAGCTGATGTGGGAACCCCCCTGCAAAATTGGGGATTTGCTTTAGCGACCAAAATGAATCTGCTACACCCATTGAAAGATCTTGGATTATATTTCTTTCTACACTGTAATTCTCATTACCTTTTATTTACTAACGCCTTGCTTGATAACACCTCACTTTTGTCTTTAATGTTGAACGTTCGTTCGCCCAGGTGAGGAAGGCAATGGGTTCTGTCCACAGGCCGGGACATACAAAAGTAATTTAAGATGGTAGTTGTTATTCCCTGCTTAACGTTCAGCATTAAGGGTAATGACAACAACTGGTACACCCGTTGTCAGTATAATGTGACCAGGCGGCATGCTGTGCTGGGTGCCTTCGGCATGGTATTTCAGCGAGATAACACTATAAAGTTGGCTTAGATCCGCACTTTCACAAGGAGGCAAGTACACCAATATACCCTGTCTCTGACGCACATGGAGGCACGTCCTTAAATGACCTTAGCTGTTAACAGGACGTTAAACAAAACAAAACCAAACCAGACCTATAGTTGAGATTCCGATTTTAGTTGGTTCAAGTTGTCTCTCCTTTTATTTTGGGATCTCTTTGGTCCAAGTATTGTGTTTTCGTCTGGAATAACTGTCAACCTTTGGAAATCTGTTATCTGGTCATAACCAAATGTTGACTCTAGCATATTATATGTATCCTACACAACACATTTTATCCTGTGTACTAAACAGTGTTAAACCGTAATCTGCCTTAGCTTGTGGTACTGCGTTGAAATGTCTAAAATATGAGACAAACTCTATGTATAGAAGATATGTCCCAGACATATTCTATGTGAAATAGGATATAAGATATGCCCCAGACAAACTCTATGAATAGAAGATATGTCCCAGACATTCTCTATGTATAGAAGATATGCACCAGACAAACTCTATGTATAGAAGTTATGCCCCAGACATACTCTATGGATAGAAGATATGCCCCAGACAACTTCTATGTATAGAAGATATGCTCCAGACATACTCTATGTATAGAATATATGCCCCAGACATACTCTATGTATCGAAGATATGCCCCAGACAAACTCTAGGTATAGAAGATATGCCCCAGACAAATTCTATGTATAGAAGATATGCTCCAGACATACTCTATGTATAGAAGTTATGCCCCAGACAAACTCTATGTATACAAGATATGTCCCAGACATACTCTATGTATAGAATATATGCCCCAGACATACTCTATGGATAGAAGATATGCCCCAGACAAATTCTATGTATAGAAGATATGCTCCAGACATACTCTATGTATAGAAGTTATGCCCCAGACATACTCTATGGATAGAAGATATGCCCCAGACAAACTCTAGGTATAGAAGATATGCCCCAGAAAAACTCTATGTATAGAAGATATGCACCAGACATATTCTATGTGAAATAGTATTTAAGATATGCCCCAGACAAACTCTAGGTATAGAAGATATGCCCCAGACATCCTCTATGTTTAGAAGTTGTTCCCCAGACAAACGCTATGTATAGAAGATATGCCCCGGACATACTCTATGTATAGAAGTTATGCCCCAGACATACTCTATGGATAGAAGATATGCCCCAGACAAACTCTAGGTATAGAAGATATGCCCCAGACATCCTCTATGTTTAGAAGTTGTTCCCCAGACAAACGCTATGTATAGAAGATATGCCCCGGACATACTCTATGTATAGAAGATATGTCCCAGAAATACTCTATGTATAGAAGATATGCTCCAGACATACTCTATGTATAGAATATATGCCCCAGACATACTCTATGTATCGAAGATATGCCCCAGACAAACTCTATGAATAGAAGATATGTCCCAGACATTCTCTATGTATAGAAGATATGCACCAGACAAACTCTATGTATAGAGGATAGGCCCCAGACATACTCTATGTATCGAAGATATGCCCCAGACAAACTCTATGAATAGAAGATATGTCCCAGACATTCTCTATGTATAGAAGATATGTCCCAGGCATATTCTATGTGAAATAGTATTTAAGATATGCCCCAGACAAACTCTATGAATAGAAGATATGCCCCAGACAAATTCTATGAATAGAAGATATGCCCCAGACAAATTCTATGAATAGAAGATATGCCCCAGACAAATTCTATGAATAGAAGATATGCCCCAGACAACTTCTATGTATAGAAGATATGCCCCAGACAAACTCTATGAAGCAGAGGGATGGACAGAGAGACGGAGTGCAAACCTAGTCCCCCAGGGGAACAGATGGGGGATTTAAATGCAGAATTAATTTTTGGGTTACAAGATATATACAGGGGATTTATGAAAGTACACACATTTTTGGGAACGGAATACTGTATAATCCCCCAAAATAATCTTGGTTATTCCTTAATAAAACAAACAACAAACAACAGTTTAAATAAAATATCGTAAAGAAAAATCACTTTATTCTTCCATCTGTATTTCTGGTTTTATATAACATATACAATTCATATTTATAGATTAGACAGTGAAATCTGTCTAATCTGACAACCTGAAATCACATTTATAGATTAGACAGTCAAATCTGTCTAATCTGACAACCTGAAATCACATTTATACATTAGACAGTGAAATCTGTCTAATCTGACGACCTGAAATCACATTTATAGATTAGACAGTGAAATCTGTATAATCTGACAACCTGAAATCACATTTATAGATTAGACAGTGAAACCTGTCTAATCTGACAACCTGAAATCACATTGATATATTAGACAGTGAAATCTGTCTAATCTGACAACCTGAAATCAGATTTATAAAATAGACAATGAAATCTGTCTAATCTGACAACCTGAAATCAGATTTATAAAATAGACAATGAAATCTGTCTAATCTGACAACCTGAAATCAGATTTATAAAATAGACAATGAAATCTGTCTAATCTGACAACCTGAACTCACATTTATAGATTAGACAGTGAAATCTGTATAATCTGACAACCTGAAATCACATTTATAGATTAGGCAGTGAAATCTGTCTAATCTGACAACCCGAAATCACATTTATAGATTAGACAGTGAAACCTGTCTAATCTGACAACCTGAAATCACATTTATAGATTAGACAGTGAAATCTGTATAATCTGACAACCTGAAATCACATTTATAAATTAGACAGTGAAATCTGTCTAATCTGACAACCCGAAATCACATTTATAGATTAGACAGTGAAACCTGTCTAATCTGACAACCTGAAATCACATTTATAAATTAGACAGTGAAATCTGTCTAATCTGACGACCTGAAATCACATTTATAGATTAGACAGTCAAATCTGTCTAATCTGACAACCTGAAATCAGATTTATAAAATAGACAATGAAATCTGTCTAATCTGACAACCTGAAATCACATTTATAGATTAGACAGTCAAATCTGTCTAATCTGACAACCTGAAATCAGATTTATAAAATAGACAATGAAATCTGTCTAATCTGACAACCTGAAATCACATTTATAGATTAGGCAGTGAAATCTGTCTAATCTGACAACCCGAAATCACATTTATAGATTAGACAGTGAAACCTGTCTAATCTGACAACCTGAAATCACATTTATAGATTAGACAGTGAAAAGGGAAGAACACAACTTGTCCATTTTGAAACTTTTCAATATTCCAGATAAAATCAAGAACTTTAAAATTGTTTTAAAATAAAAAAAAATCTGAAAAGATAAGAATCACATCACTGCATTGTATGTCAACACGACAACTGTTCAAATGTTGATGCAAATTATGTTATAAATGAAAATAAAATTGTTATTGTTTCTTAAATTCATTGTTTTGTCAGTTGTGTCTCGGTGTCTGAATGAATTATATATAATAAATAAATATAAGACCGATACACTGTTCCATAATTTATGTCAATATAAACAAAAAATATCACAGTCATTTCTATAAAAATGTAAAAAACAGTTTGATATAAACTCAGTATCATTTGGACGGAACTCACTATATCCCTTATAAATAACAGGATATGTAGCATTTTAATTTATTTGTTGAATGAGTCATCAAATTGTTTTCCGAAAGCTTTTGCAAGGTTAGACACCAACTTTTTTTACTAAGTATTCCACAAGTTATATAGATTATTTATTAGTCCTTTGTCAATGTACCGGGTAACTAGTCCAAGATTTCCTGATCGGGAAACAATGTGATCTACAGCATGGAACATCAAAAGTTATCGACTGTAGGGTACTAAAAATAACTACTGCCATAAAAAAATGGTGAAGTTTTAGGAATTTTGTTTTGATAATTATCATGCAATATACCTTAATTATGGTAAGCAGTTTTTATAAAAGATTTAAAAAAAAGGAAAATCCTAATTCATGATCATATTTTTCACAAGTCCAAAGGACTAGCTAGGAAAGGTGATTCATTAGTCCTTGCTGAAATCTACTAGTCCAGGACTAGCGGATTAGTGTTAGTGTCGACCCCTGTTTTGAGAATAGCTAAATGGTAAGTTTTACTACAAATCAAGTAATGAAAACTCACTTTTTATACTCTCACAAACTTTAAACATCCATATTTATAGAGGCAGAATACCTTTTTGAATATCATTTCAGGTTATTATTATGATTTTTATTGATTGAAAATACAGTACTTCATAATAAGCTTGATTCATCTTACTACATTTTTCTTAACTTATAACTTGATTCTTTTTTACCTCTTTCAAATCCAACAGTACAAGTTGCCTCCCTTCCCAAAAGGTATCATGCTCATCTTTTGCTTTCAGAAATATAAGAAGAAAATAGAAGTAAATATATGAACAAAATTCTCATCTAATGTTTACAGAAAATAATTAAATATCCCATTGAATGTTTTTAGAAATATATTGATAATTTCTCAAGAAAAAAATTCAGTGGCCATAATATAAAGCGACAAAATTGCTATGGATAACCTGTTCCAAAGGGAAGCAACTCTCACTGTTGGAAGAAATATCTTTCCTTCATATTAACTCATTCCGCCCTGAAATTTCATAATGAACTATTCCAACCTTTGAATTGGAAGAGTTTAAATGTTTCTCCAGGGGTGAATGAGTTAAGGGAATAGGATAAGCACTGTATGTAGCTTTAAATATTATATTCAAGCGTAATATATATCTCGAGTAACAACTGTTGTTCGTACAGGATTGATAGCACAGAATTGTTTTCCAAAGTCTTTAGTTTTTAGTCAAATTTTAGTAAAATCACAAAGCGAGCGGCGGTTTATCTTCACTGCATAAAACCTCTTCAAACACATCCTCCATTTTCTGTAAAGTGTCTGCCATGATCAGTGTAGTCTGTAATAAATAAAAAAAGTACATGAAGAGGTGGTCATGGGGGATATTACCTGTGTTCAGAATTAAAAACATCAATAAAATGTTTGTATGTACACCCCAAGGCAAAAATAACAATTTTGAATGGCATCTTTCAATTAAGCTCATCTCAGATGAAATCATAAGTCTGAAGATCTTAGAAAATAAGAATAGTTTAGAAAATTCACTGGATCTTAGAAAATAAGAATAGTTTAGAAAATTCACTGGTGAAAAATGCTGAGTTTTAGGGTCCAAAATCGGGAGTCTCCCTCCAAAACAGGGAGGGGTTGGCAAGTATGTTAAGGAAGACCGAGCCGTACACTACCTTGATTGATTGTTTGGTGAGAAAAACAAGGCATTAGTACTATACTGTGCCAGACTATACAAAGATTTCAACGAGAGCAGGTGAACAGTGTTACCTGTGTATAAAGTTTCTCCTTATATTTGCGATACAGCACAGGGTCAGCGTCAGGTATAGGACTATGAGGTGTACTGGTGGGGGTGGTCATCGTCCGCTCACGACTCTCTGCCATCATAGAGCCCGGCCCTGGCGTGGCGGACGGACCCCTGCTTGGGGTCTTCTTTTGTGGGGGTTGTGGGGTCTTTCCTTTAGGTTCTGCCTTGGCAGCCTGAGAAAGGCAAAATGTACATAATGTCATTTCAAAGTGTACCCTTCATTTCTTGATTTCTCAATCTTTAATATTGTGTTGGAGATATTTAAATACATTTCACAACTACTTACACACCTAAAGTAAATTAGTTACATTATCCTTGACCTCTTTGCACTTGGCCCCCTTACCTATATTTACCATTGATCCCTGAGCCCTTTGCCCTTGGCCCCCTTACCTCTTTACCATTGATCCCTGACCCCTTTGGCCCCTTACCTCTTTACCATAGATGCCTGACCCCTTGGCCCCCTTACCTCTTTACCATTGATCCCTGACCCCTTTGGCCTTGATCTCTGAGATCCTTGACCCCCTTACCTCTTTACCGTTGATCTCTGACCCCTTGGCCCCCTTACCTCTTTACCATTGATCCCTAACCCCTTTGGTCTTGATCCCTGAGATCCTTGACCCCCTTACCTCTTTACCATTGATCCCTGACCCCTTTGCCATTGGTCCCCTTACCTCTTTACCGTTGATCCCTGACCCCTTGGCCCCCTTACCTCTTTACCATTGATCCCTGACCCCTTTGCCCTTGGCCCCCTTACCTCTTTACCATAGATGCCTGACCCCTTGGCCCCCTTACCTCTTTACCATTGATCCCTGACCCCTTTGCCCTTGGCCCCCTTACCTCTTTACCATAGATGCCTGACCCCTTGGCCCCCTTACCTCTTTACCATTGATCCCTGACCCCTTTGCCCCCTTACCTCTTTACCATAGATGCCTGACCCCTTGGCCCCCTTACCTCTTTACCATTAATCCCTGACCCCTTTGGCCTTGATCTCTGAGATCCTTGACCACCTTACCTCTTTACCGTTGATCTCTGACCCATTGGCCCCCTTACCTCTTTACCATTGATCCCTAACCCCTTTGGTCTTGATCCCTGAGATCCTTGACCCCCTTACCTCTTTACCATTGATCCCTGACCCCTTTGCCATTGGTCCCCTTACCTCTTTACCGTTGATCCCTGACCCCTTTGCCCCATTACCTCTTTACCATAGATGCCTGACCCCTTGGCCCCCTTACATCTTTACCATTGGTCCCTTACCTCTTTGCCATTGGCCCCTTACCTCTTTCCCTTTGGCCCCTTACCTCTTTGCCATTGGCCCCTTACCTCTTTTCCCTTGGCCCCTTTCTCATCCTTTTTGGCTGGTGCTTTGCCTCCCTTCTCTGGTGGAGCCTTTACCTTGTTTTCTGCCTTGGACTTGCTCCTGGAGTCGCCTACAATATGTCAATCAGAGGTCTCTTTACACTGTTAAAACATGTTTTAAGAAACAGTAGGACCTTGAAGAAATTAGTTTGCCATAAACATTTTTTGTTTTAGAATGTGATGAGTTGTGGTGTAACGATACATCGTACTATCGATATATTGGGATTGTACACCTCTCGGTTTGATTTATCAATGACAACTTCGTAAACTAGATAACAATCGTCGATGGTATGCTTAATAATCGATAGTTTCAAAACTGCTAAAAGTTGCAGTTTTCTAATCACACCGTGCGATTACGAGTACTGATAATTCAGTCGTTATCATTAAGGCGCCCTCGACAGGTGGAGTCGAGCGCGCTGGTCACTATCACATATTAGTCTCAGTCGTGTGTTTGCTTTAATTGCATAAATGTTACAGTATACTTTATTCTCAGTGTTGTTGGAATGTTTGATAAACATGCTAGCAGACGGCATGGCGACTAACATATTGAAGACAAAAAAAATGACCTTATACCAATAGTTGCAATACTACCGTGGTAGTATACCACAATCCTAAAACTATACCAATAGTGTCTTCCCCTACAGTAAGTCCGTCTTTGCGTATTGCAGAGTTATCTTCTCCTGTGAGCAGGTATTGATTGTTACGTCATTGGTTCGTGTGAGAAAATTACGTCGTTTTCTCAAATATTGATGCCGTTACTCTCACAAACAAATGACGTAACAACCAATCCCTGCTCACAAGAGAAGATAACTCTGCAATACGAAAAGACGGAATAGTCACCCCTAGTGATGAGACACGCCCTTGTTAAAGCAACACAAATAGGACAAGAATGTAGAGAGTGTGTTTGAACTCTAGAAGTGGTTCCCCAACGATTGTTCAATGATTAACACACTGGCATAAAAAGAGACCTACATTGATCCCTGTTAGCATGGATCACGTGGACACCTTGCTGAGCAGATCAAACACATACAGCTCCATGCATTTGTATCATTTTAACAATGTATAGATAGCTAATAGATTATGTTCATGCTATATGCCTCCCAAGAACATACATGCCAGAATTCTTGGAGACCAATCTGTGAGTTTTACAATCATTTTTAGGGAATTGAGGTGAAAATAAGGGAGGTTTTCTTTGCAGCGTTTTTCACGGCAAAAAGACTATCTTACTCAACTAAATTAATGAAATAAAGCACAAAATCTTTATAAGTAAGGAACTTTGTTTTGACTTTGGTAGATTTTTTTGTATAAATTATATGATTATATCTATTTAATAGCACAAAGTTAACAAAACAAAATAGCACATAGTTGAGATATACTGAAGAAGCTGATTTAACTTTAAATTTCGAAATTTAGTTGGACAGGCCGCTATTCACAGCAGCCACAGTACTACTAATGTTCAGTTTAAACTTTGAACTATGTATTTGTATGGGTTTGTAAAAATAAGGATAATAGTTGTCTATGTTCATTTACCTTTGAACTTCTTGATAATGTAACAGAATGAAGAACACAACACGCGAGATTTTCCTTACAAGTCGGCCTAATGTCAGAGAGCCAAGAACACAACACAGGAGAGTATTTGTATGGGTTTGTAAAAATAAGGATAATAGTTGTCTATGTTCATTTACCTTTGACCTTCTTGATAATGTAACAGAATGAAGAACACAACACGCAAGATTTTCCTTACAAGTCGGCCTAATAGTTGTCTATGTTCATTTACCTTTGACCTTCTTGATAATGTAACAGAATGAAGAACACAACACAGCAGATTTTCCTTACAAGGCGGCCTAATGTCAGAGAGCCAGGAACACAACACAGGAGATTTCCCTTACAAGGTTGAGATATACTGAAGAAGCTGATTTAACTTTAAATTTCGAAATTTAGTTGGACCGGCCGCTATTCACAGCAGCCACAGTACTACTAATGTTCAGATTAAACTTTGATCTATGTATTTGTATGGGTTTGTAAAAATAAGGATAATAGTTGTATATGTTCATTTACCTTTGAACTTCTTGATAATGTAACAGAATGAAGAACACAACACAGCAGATTTTCCTTACAAGTAGGCCTAATGTCAGAGAGCCAAGATCACAACACAGGAGATTTCCCTTACAAGTCGGCCTATTGTCAGCGAGCCAAGAACACAACACAGCAGATTTCCTTACAAGTCGGCCTAATGTCGGAGAGCCAAGAACACAACACAGGAGCTTTTCCTTACAAGTCGGCCTAATGTCGGAGAGCCAAGAACACAACACAGGAGATATCCCTTACAAGTCGGCCTAATGTAAGAGAGCCAATTAAGAACACAACACAGGAGATTTCCTTACAAGTCGGCCTAATGTCGGAGAGCCAAGAACACAACACAGGAGCTTTTCCTTACAAGTCGGCCTAATGTCGGAGAGCCAAGAACACAACACAGGAGCTTTTCCTTACAAGTCGGCCTAATGTCGGAGAGCCAAGAACACAACACAGGAAATTTACCTTACAAGTCGGCCTAATGTCATAGAGCCAAGAACACAACACAGGAGCTTTTCCTTACAAGTCGGCCTAATGTCGGAGAGCCAAGAACACAACACAGGAAATTTCCCTTACAAGTCGGCCTAATGTCAGTGAGCCAAGAACACAACACAACAGATTTCCCTTACAAGTCGGCCTATTGTCAGCGAGCCAAGAACACAACACAGGAGCTTTTCCTTACAAGTCGGCCTAATAGTTGTCTATGTTCATTTACCTTTGACCTTCTTGATAATGTAACAGAATGAAGAACACAACACGCAAGATTTTCCTTACAAGTCGGCCTACTGTCAGAGAGACAAGAACACAACACAGCAGATTTTCCTTACAAGGCGGCCTAATGTCAGAGAGCCAATTAAGAACACAACACAGGAGAGTTCCCTTACAAGTCGGCCTAATGTAAGAGAGCCAATTAAGAACACAACACAGGAGAGTTCCCTTACAAGTCGGCCTAATGTCATAGAGCCAAGAACACAACACAGGAAATTTACCTTACAAGTCGGCCTAATGTCATAGAGCCAAGAACACAACACAGGAAATTTACCTTACAAGTCGGCCTAATGTCATAGAGCCAAGAACACAACACAGGAGCTTTTCCTTACAAGTCGGCCTAATAGTTGTCTATGTTCATTTACCTTTGACCTTCTTGATAATGTAACAGAATGAAGAACACAACACGCAAGATTTTCCTTACAAGTCGGCCTAATAGTTGTCTATGTTCATTTACCTTTGACCTTCTTGATAATGTAACAGAATGAAGAACACAACACAGCAGATTTTCCTTACAAATCGGCCTAATGTCAGAGAGCCAAGACCACAACACAGGAGATTTTCCTTAGAAGTCGGCCTAATGTCAGAGAGCGAAGAACACAACACAGGAGATTTTCCCCTACAAGTCGGCCTAATGTCAGAGGGCCAAGAACACAACACAGGAGATATCCCTTACAAGTCGGCCTAATGTAAGAGAGCCAATTAAGAACACAACACAGGAGATATCCCTTACAAGTCGGCCTAATGTCAGCGAGCCAAGAACACAACACAGGAGATTTTCCCTTACAAGTCGGCCTAATGTCAGCTAGCTACACAAGCAACATGACACAAACCCATATTCTTATGGCAATTTCGATAATACTTTTCAACTCTTCATGCATCCAGATAAAATTAAGTACTTTGAATATGAATGTATCCTTAAAGTTCACATATCAAGGGCAACAACTCTACAATAACAAAAGAGGAAAGAACTACTAGTCTACAATATTTATACAATGAAACCCCACTTATTCAAACTTGTATTATTTGAATATCCCTCTTTGTTGAATAATTAACTTGGTCCCAACTGTGTTCTTATACATGTATATTATTTAGTGTTGAGATTTCAACATCGATGATCGGATATAATCGGTTAGTGTCAATTGATCGATTTTCGATAATTAATCGGTTAGCCTACCGTTACATAATCCTTTAAAAAATTATTACTTTTTTCTTAACAATGGCTTTTCCTTTTATTAATACAACCAATGAAATTTCAACTTTTCTGCGTAGTTTCGTATCTTTTTTTTTATCATACCATTTCAACGAAACAATCTTTATTGATGAACAGTTATCATTTATATTTTTTGCAATTAATTATGTTAAAATACCATGATTGGTAAGAAGTTATAGTTAAGAGTAAAATGACATAGAACTCCCATTCTCTCTTGAAAATGAAAATGAAAGTAGAACTCGCACTTCCAGTTTCATCGATGTTGAAATCTCATAATCGATTGTCGGGAATCGGTTGCCTTTCCGATTAGATATCGATTATAAATCGATCATCGGGACAACACTAATATTGCTGTACTTGTAAAGTAACCGACTGCTTTAGCATTGAATAATCTCCGACTGCTTTAGCATTGAATATCCTGTGTTCCTTGAACTCTGATTTATCTCCGACTGCTTTAGTATTGAATATCCTGTGTTCCTTGAACTCTGATTTATCTCCGAATGCTTTAGTATTGAATATCCTGTGTTCCTTGACCTCTGATTTATCTCCGCCTGCTTTAGTATCTATCCAATCATTTTGTTGAACACTTAGTCACATCTTGGCATCACACCAAATGCGTGTCGAACACATTCCCGAGGGGCACAGACTGACGTCTATGCTCATTGGGTGTATACAGGTGTGCGCGGGACGCCAGATAGTTAAAGGATTAAAGGCAGTATCGTTAAGTACCTGTACTATCACCATGTAACAAACTAACAGTTGAATTAACGAAGAGTAGGAATAATTGTTATTTACCGACAAAGTTTCACATTAATGCCTATGGTTTATTTAGCAAGGTTGTTCTTGCTTAAAACCTGATATTCAGCATGACAATATTAACTTTATATAATTAAGTGGAAATCACATATCTGATTATCGAACATCTTTAAAGATTTAAAGATATTCCAACTTGAATACTATTTGATTTTTAAAATTTTAAAATTTTGTTAGCAATCATCATGATTATGCAGATTTAACATTTTCTGCATTTCAGATATACCGAACAGTTCCTCTCCTCTTTTTGATATTTCCGAAAAATTAACATACTGCAATAGATGAATACTTAATACAATGCCTAAACAGTAGGTACGTTTGTTCAATTCCTATTCTAAATAACAATGGCTACATATTTTCATTGTCATTTTTATATCTTATTAGATACTGTCATCTTTATTATATTTATTTTTTACTTCAATTATATCATCCACTATCTGTGAAACTAGAAGAGGTTCTGCTGCCTGCCGTCCCACCTAAAGGAAACAGGACAACATCTAACTAGCCTCAGATCCGTCAAGTTCCACATGCTCTTGGATCGCTTGATCTGGACCCATGAGGTCGAGTCAGCAGGGTTTTACTGTACGCTGGAAACCGTGAAATTTTCACCACTTTAAACTTTTGGGTTCTATGAGCATTAAAATAAATTCTTAAAATAAGAATTACATCCACTCTCACATTAACCAAACTCAGTATTTCTTCCACTTCTGAATTTCCTCTATGGTTCCCGTCGAAAGGGATAAAAAATACACCAGATTGATTGTACGCTGACCAAGGGAGACAATTCTACTGCAACTGTCATTGAAAGAATCATGCTACAAATTTACAAGAAAACAGATTTCTTCTACTTTAAAGGAAAAATTGAATACCCAACTACAGATCTCAGAAAGAAACATATGCTCTGTGAAAATTATATTCAGGGGTTCTGCTGCAAAGTGAATGCACCCAAGGAAGAAAACACAACACAGTCAGAGAGGGGAGATAACTACTGTCATGCACTCCTACAACCCGGTACCTTCATTTGGATGTGTGACGTGAGGAGGTGTCCTGTCAGTGAGAGCTGTAGAGGTGCAATATGATGTTAGACAATAAAACACAACATAGTTATACTTTCTGCATGATAATTTATATGTATGTATTACATATGGTGACAGTGCTCTTTATGTATATATATTTGGTACTTAATTTTGGCCATATTCTCAATGATATTAAGAAATTTGTCATTCCATTTGGTAAAAACAAAAACACCCTTAATCGGAAAAAGGTGAATTCCCTTTTTTTTTTTTTTTTTTCAAGAATCACTTCCAAAAATTAAACATTCTTCAAAACGTTGAGAAAAAAAAGAGAAATAGGATTAAGACATTGCGCTATTGAGCTAAGAAGATACTTTATACTGTATACCGGGACAATTTTGCAGCAGTTTAGATTACGCCTTTTCTTGCCCTCCGTAATGACGGCAGTGTTTTAAGAAAAGAATTTGTTTTAGCAAATGTTGTTATGGTCCTATAACACACATTGCTATTGATGACAAATTTAATGAAGCCCCGCCTGGCAGGGATGTGTGTTATATATAGGACCATAATAATATCTATAACTTGACTTGGCAAAAGTTTCCCGGTATAAGTATTATATATATATTGTATGATATATGTTGTTTTGGTGCTGAAGGAATAATATGTGTAAAATATCCAGCCTTCTTGATCTGTCAACCTTCTCCTAACTACAGATTTGAATACTCAAGTAAAAAAATATCCAGCGTTCAGTTACCTCCTAGTCAACCATCCCCTTATTTTAGGTTTCCTCATCTGGTGTAGCTCCCCATCTTAATAACAGTTGAGACTAACCAGCCCCCTTTAATCGACCCCTCCCCCCCCCCCCCCCCCCCAAAAAAAAAAAAGCTGAGGCCTTATAGGACTCACACAACTAAATCAGCCAATCAGCAAGTGTTTCATATGTTTGTAGTTCCTATCTAAAATATGTTCCGGCTAATTGCTGGGCCACTGAATGAGTTTAATAAGGAACTGATGACAGATTTTTAGATAAATGAAATGTTCAGGTATTTAACTTTTGAAAAATGTATACTTTACACAGGGGCAAAATGTCTAGGGGCGTTTCTGTTTTGAGTCACCGGTTTGGTTTGTAAACTTCCGGTTGTCAACTTCTTGATGCTGTGACACTCAAATATGCCACTAAACCTGCCAAAAAAGTAATTTTGTAGCCTTTGCAAGGTATGTATTTATGAATCTAGACAGTTGTCACTGGTTTTAAACTTCAAATATTAAAGTTATTAGCTAAAATGTTTGGTAATAACATAAAGTAAAT